CCCACACCACCAGGTGATCAGACTTTATTACCCCAGAGTTACCCACACCACCAGGTGATGACTTTATTACCCCAGAGTTACCCACACCACCAGGTGATATTACCCCAGAGTTACCCACACCACCAGGTGATCAGACTTTATTACCCCAGAGTTACCCACACCACCAGGTGATCAGACTTTATTACCCCAGAGTTACCCACACCACCAGGTGATCAGACTTTATTACCCCAGAGTTACCCACACCACCAGGTGATCAGACTTTATTACCCCAGAGTTACCCACACCACCAGGTGATCAGACTTTATTACCCCAGAGTTACTCACACCACCAGGTGATCAGACTTTATTACCCCAGAGTTACCCACACCACCAGGTGATCAGACTTTATTATTACCCCAGAGTTACCCACAGCACCAGGTGATCAGACTTTATTACCCCAGAGTTACCCACACCACCAGGTGATCAGACTTTATTACCCCAGAGTTACCCACACCACCAGGTGATCAGACTTTATTACCCCAGAGTTACCCACACCACCAGGTGATCAGACTTTATTACCCCAGAGTTACCCACACCACCAGGTGATCAGACTTTATTACCCCAGAGTTACCCACACCACCAGGTGATCAGACTTTATTACCCCAGAGTTACCACACACCACCACCCCAGAGTTACCCACACCACCAGGTGATCAGACTTTATTACCCCAGAGTTACCCACACCACCAGGTGATCAGACTTTATTACCCCAGAGTTACCCACACCACCAGGTGATCAGACTTTATTACCCCAGAGTTACCCACAGCACCAGGTGATCAGACTTTATTACCCCAGAGTTTATTACCCCAGAGTTACCCACACCACCAGGTGATCAGACTTTATTACCCCAGAGTTACCCACACCACCAGGTGATCAGACTTTATTACCCCAGAGTTACCCACACCACCAGGTGATCAGACTTTATTACCCCAGAGTTACCCACACCACCAGGTGATCAGACTTTATTACCCCAGAGTTACCCACACCACCAGGTGATCAGACTTTATTACCCCAGAGTTACCCACACCACCAGGTGATCAGACTTTATTACCCCAGAGTTACCCACACCACCAGGTGATCAGACTTTATTACCCCAGAGTTACCCACACCACCAGGTGATCAGACTTTATTACCCCAGAGTTACCCACACCACCAGGTGATCAGACTTTATTACCCCAGAGTTACCCACACCACCAGGTGATCAGACTTTATTACCCCAGAGTTACCCACACCACCAGGTGATCAGACTTTATTACCCCAGAGTTACCCACACCACCAGGTGATCAGACTTTATTACCCCAGAGTTACCCACACCACCAGGTGATCAGACTTTATTAGTTACCCACACCACCAGGTGATCAGACTTTATTACCCCAGAGTTACCCACACCACCAGGTGATCAGACTTTATTACCCCAGAGTTACCCACACCACCAGGTGATCAGACTTTATTACCCCAGAGTTACCCACACCACCAGGTGATCAGACTTTATTACCCCAGAGTTACCCACACCACCAGGTGATCAGACTTTATTACCCCAGAGTTACCCACACCACCAGGTGATCAGACTTTATTACCCCAGAGTTACCCACACCACCAGGTGATCAGACTTTATTACCCCAGAGTTACCCACACCACCAGGTGATCAGACTTTATTACCCCAGAGTTACCCACACCACCAGGTGATCAGACTTTATTACCCCAGAGTTACCCACACCACCAGGTGATCAGACTTTATTACCCCAGAGTTACCCACACCACCAGGTGATCAGACTTTATTACCCCAGAGTTACCCACACCACCAGGTGATCAGACTTTATTACCCCAGAGTTACCCACACCACCAGGTGATCAGACTTTATTACCCCAGAGTTACCCACACCACCAGGTGATCAGACTTTATTACCCCAGAGTTACCCACACCACCAGGTGATCAGACTTTATTACCCCAGAGTTACCCACACCACCAGGTGATCAGACTTTATTACCCCAGAGTTACCCACACCACCAGGTGATCAGACTTTATTACCCCAGAGTTACCCACACCACCAGGTGATCAGACTTTATTACCCCAGAGTTACCCACACCACCAGGTGATCAGACTTTATTACCCCAGAGTTACCCACACCACCAGGTGATCAGACTTTATTACCCCAGAGTTACCCACACCACCAGGTGATCAGACTTTATTACCCCAGAGTTACCCACACCACCAGGTGATCAGACTTTATTACCCCAGAGTTACCCACACCACCAGGTGATCAGACTTTATTACCCCAGAGTTACCCACACCACCAGGTGATCAGACTTTATTACCCCAGAGTTACCCACACCACCAGGTGATCAGACTTTATTACCCCAGAGTTACAGACTTTTTACCCACACCACCAGGTGATCAGACTTTATTACCCCAGAGTTACCCACACCACCAGGTGATCAGACTTTATTACCCCAGAGTTACCCACACCACAGGGTGATCAGACTTTATTACCCCAGAGTTACCCACACCACCAGGTGATCAGACTTTATTACCCCAGAGTTACCCACACCACCAGGTGATCAGACTTTATTACCCCAGAGTTACCCACACCACCAGGTGATCAGACTTTATTACCCCAGAGTTACCCACACCACCAGGTGATCAGACTTTATTACCGCAGAGTTACTCACACCACCAGGTGATCAGACTTTATTACCCCAGAGTTACCCACACCACCATATCATTGTGTCCAGTATACCATACATTATTGTTTTCTAAACTCACTAGTAACAAAGGAAAATTTTGTCAGCTGCTCTTTATGTGTCAGTGTGACTGGTCTTCATTTCTACGCTAGAATGTTTTCAACAATTTTGTTTGAATATGTAGGGATAAGGCTGTTTGCAGACTGAAAATGATAAAGGTCGTTCCAAATTTCAATGTAGCAAATTATTTAATAAATTGATGTGTAACAACATTGAAATAACTGTGAGCTGTTTTTTTGGTGAAATAAATGATACATTCGTTTTAAAAATCAATACCAATTTAGCAGTGGGCTGTTATTCTGTCTGAGGCTGTACTAATTGATAGCCATAAACAATATCAATAGTTTTCATACACAACCATATTGATGACAAACTTGAAAGGAATGAAATCTGTTTTTTATTAATTTTATTATTTTTTTTTATATTGAATATCAGATCACCAACAAGGGGGTTCATTGTTAGGTTTACAACTTTATCAACCGTCACATCAAAGACTGAGTAATTATACAAATTGTATTTCATAACATAATCAATATCATTTAACTGTGGTATCAGTCATCAATATCCTGTTATTGTGATATCAAACATTAATATCCTGTTACTATGGTATTAGACATTAATATCCTGTTACTGTGATATCAAACATTAATATCCTGTTACTGTGATATCAAACATTAATATCCTGTCACTATGGTATTAGACATTAATATCCTGTTACTGTGATATCAAACATTAATATCCTGTTACTATGGTATCCGACATTAATATCCTGTTACTGTGATATCAAACATTAATATCCTGTTACTATGGTATCAGACATTAATATCCTGTTACTGTGATATCAAACATTAATATCCTGTTACTATGGTATCAGACATTAATATCCTGTTATTGTGATATCAAACATTAATATCCTGTTACTGTGATATCAAACATTAATATCCTGTTACTATGGTATCAAACATTAATATCCTGTTACTATAGTATCAAGCATCAATATTCTGTGACTATGGTATCAAACATCAATATCCTGTTACTGTGATATCAAATATCAATATTCTGTTACTATGGTATCAAACACCAATATCCTGTTACTATGGTATTACACATCAATATCCTGTTATTGTGATATCAAACATCAATATCTAGTTACTATGGCATCACACATCAATATCCTGTTACTATGGAATCAAACATCAATATCCATTTACTGTGATATCAAATATCAATATTCTGTTACTATGGTATCAAACATCAGTGTTCTGTTACAGTGATATCACACATCAATATCCTGTTACTATGGTATTACACATCAGTGTTCTGTTACTATGGTATCAAACATCAATATCCTGTTACAGTGATATCACACATCAATATCCTGTTACTATGGTATCAAACATCAATATCCTGTTACTATGGTGTCAGACATTAATATCCAGTTACTATGATATCAAACATCAATATCCTGTTACTGTGATATCAAACATTAATATCCTGTTACTATGGTATCACACATCAGTATTCTATTACTATGGTATTACACATCAATATCCAGTTACTGTGATATCACACATCAGTATCCTGTTACTATGGTATTACACATCAGTATTCTGTTACTATAGTATTACACATCAATATCCAGTTACTGTGATATCACACATCAGTATTCTGTTACTATGGTATTACACATCAATATCCTGTTACTATGGTATTACACATCAATATCCAGTTACTGTGATATCACACATCAGTATTCTATTACTATGGTATTACACATCAATATCCAGTTACTGTGATATCACACATCAGTATTCTATTACTATGGTATTACACATCAATATCCAGTTACTGTGATATCACACATCAGTATCCTGTTACTATGGTATTACACATCAGTGTTCTGTTACTATGGTATCACACATCAATATCCTGTTTCTGTGATATCACACATCAATATCCTGTTTCCAGACATCATAGTGTTAATTCTTTGATGCTCTTGACTGATTTGATTTAGATAGAACTTACTTCAGTCAACTTGCTAATGATAAACATAGTAGAGTTTTTCAGAGATTCTGTCAGTTACAGAAATTAAATCAACTGAACAGTTCAATATTCAGGAGATAGTTATAAAAGTGTTTTAGAGTTTTGTTTTAGTAGTATCCTACAGTGTAAATAGTAGTGCCTTATCTCTGAAACACTTCACCTGTAGTAGCCAGACTTACCTGTGATCCCTCCAGCTGCACTCGGCTGACTTCAGTGTTGAGGTACTGCCTGTGAGCTTTGTTTACAACAGTCCGGTCTCCACTCATCCTTCATCCAAAGAAACCATACAGTGATCTGATTGGTCGAGGAGCAGGAGGAGAGGCCCCCACAGGGTAATCCTGTCATGTTTACAGGGATGGAGATAAGGGGTGAGGTTATTATTGATGGGAGGTAGATAGCTTAGATTGGAGTGAAGATAAATATCAAATTTACATCCACAGCCCTCACAGTGACAATTAAGTCTCATTAACATGGATGGGTGGTAGAGGGTGGTGATGGAGGGCAGGAAGGAGGATGGAGAAGGAGGGAGGATGGAGAAGTAAGAGCAATGAAGGGATCAATAGAGTAAGGAGAAGGATAGACAGAAGGAGGAACACTCTGATGACAGAAACAAAGCAATATTTGCTCAGTAATTATGAATGATGAGGCATACTGTTTTCTTTTTTCTCAATTACATACGTTCTATTACTATGTAAGTTTTCATTTTATTCTTGGAGAAATTTTATGTCAGAATCATTAAGATGAAAACTTTGATATCAGAAACAAGATTTTGAATTTCAATGTGGAAATAGAAAATTGAGAGAAACCAATTGTACAATTGCATTTTCTATAATTAATGTTGTTGAGTGTTGACTATCAATCATCAGAAGGATTAGTTTACTGGGTCTCTAGTTAGGGTTGTGATTCTTGTTCTCTGGGTTTTTGACTAGAATTTTCACAGCTTCCTTTGACTTTTATCATACACAGTTCCACTGTTAAACCTTGATAAAAAAATATGTGGTTTGTTTATCTCGGAATTTAAAGAATGTACTGTTTGGGGGATGAGAGGAGCTGATATCAACTGTAATGTTGTGGAAAGTAACTCTGGCTGAAATATCCAAGCACCTCATTTACAAACTGACAGGTCCAATTAAATACTCTCCCTACCCTCCCTCCTGAACCAATTAAGGACTTCCTACCCTCCCTCCAGGTCCATTTGTACACTATAGCTACCCTTCCCTCCAGGTTCAATTGTAAATAAGCTATCCCTCTCTCCTGGTCCAATTACAGACTATAGTTACCCCTCCCTCCAGGTCCAATTATAGACTATAGTTACCCCTCCCTCCAGGTCCAATAATAGACTATAGTTACCCCTCCCTCCTGGTCCAATTATAGACTATAGTTACCCCTCCCTCCTGGTCCAATTATAGACTATAGTTACCCCTCCCTCCTGGTCCAATTATAGACTATAGTTACCCCTCCCTCCTGGTCCAATTACAACGAACCCCTCCCTCCTGGTCCAATTATAGACTATAGTTACCCCTCCCCTCTAGACTAAAGTAATTTCCAATTACCAAGTAATCTATAGTTACCCCTCCCTCCTGGTCCAATTATAGACTATAGTTACCCCTCCCTCCTGGTCCAATTATAGACTATAGTTACCCCTCCCTCCTGGTCCAATTATAGACTATAGTTACCCCTCCCTCCTGGTCTAATTACAGACTATAGCTACCCCTCCCTCCTGGTCCAATTATAGACTATAGTTACCCCTCCCTTCTGGTCCAATTATAGACTATAGAGGTTCGTTAGCCTTTGCTCCTGGTACAATTATAGACTATAGTTACCCCTCCCTATAGATGGTCCAATTACAGACTATAAGTTACCCCTCCCTCCTGGTCCAATATAGATCTATGTTTACCCCACCTCCTGGTCACACATTACAGACTATAGTTACCCCTCCCTCCTGGTCCAATTATAGACTATAGTTACCCCTACCTCATGGTCAAATTACAGACTATAGTTACCCCTCCCTCCTGGTCCAAATATAGACTATAGGTCCAATTATACAGACTATAGTTACCCCTCCCTCCTGGTCCAATTACAGACTATAGTTACCCCTCCCTCCTGGTCCAATTATAGACTATAGTTACCCCTCCCTCCTGGTCCAATTATAGACTATAGTTACCCCTCCCTCCTGGTCCAATTACAGACTATAGTTACCCCTCCCTCCTGGTCCAATTATAGACTATAGTTACCCCTCCCTCCTGGTCCAATTATAGTTACCCCTCCCTCCTATAGTTACCCCTCCCTCCTGGTCCTATAGTTAGACTATAGTTAATTATAGACTATAGTTACCCCTCCCTCCTGGTCCAATTATAGACTATAGTTACCCCTCCCTCCTGGTCCAATTATAGACTATAGTTACCCCTCCCTCCTGGTCCAATTATAGACTATAGTTACCCCTCCCTCCTGGTCCAATTACAGACTATAGTTACCCCTCCCTCCTGGTCCAATTATAGACTATAGTTACCCCTCCCTCCTGGTCCAATCATAGACTATAGTTACCCCTCCCTCCTGGTCCAATCATAGACTATAGTTACCCCTCCCTCCTGGTCCAATTATAGACTATAGTTACCCCTCCCTCCTGGTCCAATTATAGACTATAGTTACCCCTCCCTCCTGGTCCAATTATAGACTATAGTTACCCCTCCCTCCTGGTCCAATTATAGACTATAGTTACCCCTCCCTCCTGGTCCAATTATAGACTATAGTTACCCCTCCCTCCTGGTCCAATTATAGACTATAGTTACCCCTCCCTCCTGGTCCAATTATAGACTATAGTTACCCCTCCCTCCTGGTCCAATTATAGACTATAGTTACCCCTCCCCCTCCTGGTCCAATTATAGACTATAGTTACCCCTCCCTCCTGGTCCAATTATAGACTATAGTTACCCCTCCCTCCTGGTCCAATTATAGACTATAGTTACCCCTCCCTCCTGGTCCAATTATAGACTATAGTTACCCCTCCCTCCTGGTCCAATTATAGACTATAGTTACCCCTCCCTCCTGGTCCAATTATAGACTATAGTTACCCCTCCCTCCTGGTCCAATTATAGACTATAGTTACCCCTCCCTCCTGGTCCAATTATAGACTATAGTTACCCCTCCCTCCTGGTCCAATTATAGACTATAGTTACCCCTCCCTCCTGGTCCAATTATAGACTATAGTTACCCCTCCCTCCTGGTCCAATTATAGACTATAGTTACCCCTCCCTCCTGGTCCAATTATAGACTATAGTTACCCCTCCCTCCTGGTCCAATTATAGACTATAGTTACCCCTCCCTCCTGGTCCAATTATAGACTATAGTTACCCCTCCCTCCTGGTCCAATTATAGACTATAGTTACCCCTCCCTCCTGGTCCAATTATAGACTATAGTTACCCCTCCCTCCTGGTCCAATTATAGACTATAGTTACCCCTCCCTCCTGGTCCAATTATAGACTATAGTTACCCCTCCCTCCTGGTCCAATTATAGACTATAGTTACCCCTCCCTCCTGGTCCAATTATAGACTATAGTTACCCCTCCCTCCTGGTCCAATTATAGACTATAATTACCCCTCCCTCTTGGTCCAATTATAGACTATAGTTACCCCTCCCTCCTGGTCCAATTATAGACTATAGTTACCCCTCCCTCCTGGTCCAATTATAGACTATAGTTACCCCTCCCTCCTGGTCCAATTATAGACTATAGTTACCCCTCCCTCCTGGTCCAATTATAGACTATAGTTACCCCTCCCTCCTGGTCCAATTACAGACTATAGTTACCCCTCCCTCCTGGTCCAATTATAGACTATAGTTACCCCTTCCTCTTGGTCTAATTACAGACTATAGTTACCCCTCCCTCCTGGTCCAATTATAGACTATAGTTACCCCTCCCTCCTGGTCCAGACTATAGTTACCCCTCCCTCCTGGTCCAATTATAGACTATAGTTACCCCTCCCTCCAGGTCCAATCATAGACTTTAGTTACACCTCCCTCCAGGTCCAATTATAGACTATAGTTACCCCTCCCTCCTGGTCCAACTGTTGTTGTAACATAAACAAGTTTGTTTTCTTGTTCCTTTTGTGAATTTTATAATGGAATAAGCATAAATTATGTATTGCTTCAAAAGGGAACTTATTACACTGTCTCACTGACAATGAAAATAAATTTCAAAGTGCTTAAATATTTCAATATGAGCAAAATCCCATAGTTACTCCTGCCTCGATGCAGAATTCAACAGTTTGCTAAAATCTACTAAAGGCTCACAATTATTTATGACCATAATTGCACCATACAAATGTTGTACTACAAATTTTGAGTGTTTCTGATTTGTGCGTGGTACTTGTCACGGTCAGGTTCTTTTCATAAACCAGAGTCTTTTTAGCTTAAAGTGAGCACCCACATTTTGTGACCGTCTATGTCCGTCATCTCAAAAAAGGCCATTCCTTAAGGGGTACAAGACATCATAATGATTGAATTTGTATTTGATATTTAACACTAAATTTTTCCTGGTCAGTTTTCTTGTCAAATACATTTGTGGTGTAGGTCAATTTTAATGAGACAATATCCAGTGTCAAACATTAGAATCTTTTATAATATTTGAAGTTTTTAATATTTGGGAATGGAATTTATTTAACAGATTCAATTATTTGATTTGTGGCAAAGGACATTTCAAATTATTTAATTTCCATGATATCAGCCCAAGTATGAAATTCTATTTCTCATATAACCCATATTTGTGAAAAACAGGCGAAAATTTTCATTATTAATTTCCTTATAAGACATAATTTTTTACTGTGGACAATTTTTCACTGATCGTGTAAGTGAGGTCATCCAGACAATATTTATTAATGACGACACAATATTGTTGTTACATGTCTTATGATATCTATGATAAATCTTTGTATAACATGACACAACATGATGTGGCTGAAGAATGTCTTTTTTAATGGTCATCAATTCATTGATCTCAGTGTTAACTAGTGAGATAATCTGTTAAAAGATAAATATTTGGGACGTTAACAATTAGTAAATAAAATGTCTATCTACACACTGAATGTAGGAAATAAATGGTTTTTTTTTCTCAAATTAATTAATTTGATCTAATTAAAGTCAGGAAGAATATGGTACATTGTAGTAATTAATGTCTGTCAGAAATGTTTGTATTTTGATGTTTCTATGCATTGAGAGTGACTAGAAATAGAACTGATATTTGTTTATCTTCAGAAACTTGATCCCTGATTGTAGGAAGACATTTATTTTATCAGAGAAACTTGTATCGTGTTTCTCCGGGA